GTTCCCTTGCAGGGCCACAGTAGGACACCATGTGGACTGTATACCCAGCAAGGTCCAGCTTCTCCAAGGCATTGATGGAGCTGGAGGGCACCACATCATTGCAGCAAATGACATTGTGCCAGTCCACTGCCACACTGGCTTTGGGGGCGTTTTTCAGCCGCCACATTGGGGGTTCCCTCCTTTCATCAAGGAGGGCTTTTCTCTTTGTTGCAGGGGTTGTGGCCGTGTTTGTTCTTGCCCTTTTTTCAAGGGTAGGCTGGGCTTGCCTCTCAGGGCTGAACACACTTACCCTTTTACAAAGGGTGGCTTTGCTTGCCTGGGGCTTGGCTGCAGGGGTGCTGGAGCTTTCTGTTTCTGAGGAGGAGGTGCCCCAGTCAACAGAGTCCTCCAAAGGGGACTCATCTGCAACAAGCTCTTTGCTTTTTTGGGCAGGGCTGGGGCCAAGGACCAGGGCCTCTTGCTGTTGGTCCTTTGCCTGCTTGTTCTTTGAAGGGGCCTTGCCAAGAGCCTCACTTGTTGGCTCCTTGTCTTGAGCTTGCTGCTCTGTTGTTTCTTCCCTTTTATCAAGGGGGCTAGGCTCTGCAGGCTTTTCTTCTTCCCTTTTGACAAGGGTGGATGGTGCTGGCTGTTCCCCTTCCCTTTTATCAAGGGTGGGCTCTGCAGGCTTTTCTTCTTCCCTTTCAAGAAAGGTGCTGGATGCAGCTGGCTGCCCCTCTTCCCTTTTAACAAGGGTGGGCTCTGCAGGCTTCTCTTCTTCCCTTTTATCAAGGGTGCTTGTCTCTGCAGGCTTCTTTTCTTCCCTTTTAGCAAGGGAGCTGGGCTGCCCCTCTTCCCTTTTATCAAGGGTGCTGGGCCCTGCAGGCTTCTCTTCTTCCCTTTTTGCAAGGGAGCTGGGTGCAGATTGTTCTTGCTCTTCTTGCCTGGCCTTTTCCTCAGCCTCAGCTTTTTCTCTGGCTACTCTTTCTTCGCCCTTTTTCTTGAACTTTTCTGCTCTTGCCCTGCTCACTGTGCCAGTGCCTGAGGGCCTGCCTTTGTTGGTCCATGTGTAGCCATGCCATGTGTAGCCAGGCATTGGCCTTTTACCAAGGCTGGTCCTTTTACCAAGGACAGCAAAAAACTAGCAAACACGCAAGCTTGAGCATATGCAAATGGCTGCAGGGTCTTTGGCTCAAGGATGTGGCATCACTGCCCAAGAAAAAACATGTTGACAGGGAACCCTCAAAAATGACAGGTGAACATGTGTTTGGGCATCATTAGAAGGCAGTCCATTTAAACTACCCTTGGGGCACAAACAAAAAAACAACATATGTGTCTCACCCTGGGGGGGGGGGGGGGAGGGGGCAACACTGTTTTTGACACCAAGCTGCTGTGCTCTGCCCCTTTTACCAAGGGTATAGCTGTACAGGTAACCCTTCCCTTTTACCAAGGGTGATGCCATTAAAACTTTCACATTGTCACCTTTTAGCAAGGGTGTGTTTTGTAGAGGCTTGCCCTCAACTCCAGAGCTTCTTCCTTTGTGAGGTGCTCCTCTTGCAACTGCTGCTTGATGTTCTGCAAGATCTCTTTGTACTTTGGATGGTTCCTGTTTGTTGTTTCCACAACTAGTTTTGGCTTCCCCTTTGGGTCTGTAGTGCCTGTTATGTAAGCTCTCCATGGTGGCTTTGCAGTTTGGGTGACATAGAGCTTTGCCCATGGCTTTCTTACAGCTGCACCTTTTACCAAGGGCTTTGCACCTTTTACCAATGGCTTTTTCTTTCTGGAGCCTTTCCCTTTTACCAAGGGTTTTGTGGAAGAACTTGCTTTGTGGTTCCTTGCTTTGGTCTTTGCCTTTTTGGCCTTGCCAATGCCCAAGGCATCTTTTAACCTTTGTTTACCCTCTTCTGTGGCTGCTGGTTGTGTTGCTAAGCTGCCTTTCCTCCTCCTTTTGAAAGAGGGTGGCTGCTGTAGGGTTGCATCATTCCCCCCCTTGTCCACCCCATCCCCTTTTACCAAGGGGCTTTGGCTTTTGTCAGGCGTTTGTAAGGCCAATGGAAAGCCTTCAGAATCAACAGTTGCCTCAGAAACCTCTTTCTTGAGCTTTCTGGCGTCTTCTGGCCTTTCAGGAAGGGGTGTGTGTGATGCTTCCCTTTCAGCAAGGGCGGGGTCTGCTTTTTCCCTTTCAACAAGGGTGGGGTTTCCTTTTTCCCTTTCAGCAAGGGTGGGGTCTGCTGCCACTTGCTGTTTCTGCTGGATCATCTTCACAACTTCCTGCAACTGCAGGAATTCAGCCCCAGTCAGCTTGGAGGCACATGCTTGCATCTCATTTTGCCCCAGGAGCCGCCTCATGTGGGACAGGAGGATTGTTATTCGCTCCACCTTCAGCCCCACCCACACTGATCCATTCCATTTGGTGCTGTTCAAGGAGGGCTCACCCAGCAAGACTTGAAACATAGCTTGCCTGAGGCAAGCCCCATGAATCTCACATATGGGTGACAGTTCAACCAGCCCTTTTAGCAAGGGCAAGCAGACCCACAGGCCTTTTGGGTCACATGCCTGTGACCTAGAGATTTTTTCATAGCTGCCAAGATCTTGAATCAAGCCTGAGTGCTTGGAAATCTCCTTGAGGAGCAGTCCTGGGTCTATGTGAGGTTTGGGGGTGTGCCTGGCCCCACCTTTGCCAACACTCATGACCCTTTTACCAAGGGCACTAGTGACCTTTTACCAAGGGCACTATACCTTTTACCAAGGGCGCTGGCAAGCAATCCCTTTTATCAAGGGTTGCCCATGTGCACAAGCATTCTAGGATTTGAGCCCAAGTTCCAGAGGCACAGGACCCAAACTCACATCAATAGAATTGTCAAAAAAAAATCAATAGAAAGCAAGATGAAAATGACAAATTAATATCAACAGAATTTGGGAAAACACAACATACTTCAAATATTGATTTAATCAATAGAAATGACAAAAATCAATATCAATTCAGAACATGAACTTCCCATTGATTTAAATCAATAGCCGATGCCCAGGGCATTTGCTCTCATTGAGAGCAAATGAGCGGGCCGTTGCGGAGAGCTGATTTCTGCCCGAGGCACGGTAAAAACTGAACAAACGGACCCCGCTCGTTTGCTCTCACCATTGAAGGCAAATGAGCGGGCCTAATGAGCGGGCCTCTCCGGGGTGCTGATTTCTGCCCGCTCATTTGCCCTATACCGGTGGGGGCAAATGAGCGGGCCTCTCCGGAGAGCTGATTTCTGCCCGAGGCACGGTAAAAAGGGAACAAACGGACCTCGCTCCTTTGCCCTTACTGGTGGGGGCAAATGAGCGGGCCTCTCCGGGGCGCTGATATCTGCCCGTGGCACGGAAAAAAGGGAACGGCAGGGCAACCTTCGCCCGAGGAGCGGCCGTGCAATGCTGATTTCTCGGCAAAAAAGGGAACAAACGCACCCCGCTCATTTGCCCTCACTGGTGACTGGCCTCTCCGGCGTGCTGATTACTGCCAGAGGCGCGGTAAAAACTTAACAAACGGACCCCGCTCATTTGCCCTCAAGAGCCGTCCAAGCCGTCCGGCCTATCAGTCCGCGCTCGTCTGTTCAACGCGTCCGAGTCGTCCGATCCGTCCGAGAAGTCCGACTGGGCCGGACACGCAACGTACCACTAAGCAAAACACGTCAGTCGCCACATGGATGCCAAGCGTCTAAGGCACGTCCCCCCCCCCCCCCAAACCCATGTCGCGCGACCCAAACCCATGCTCCAGCTGCCTCAGGCCCCTCTACAGCAAGGCCAGAGCCTTCCGCAGCCCACGCCCAGCCTGCCTCGAAAATGGACATAGAAATCGGTCAGTTGGAGCTCCTCTAAAAATCTATCCGGAGTTGGAAACCGGCCAAATGCCCCTTGAAACTGGTCCCTCTCCAAACCAATTAAATCCCTCTGAAACCAAATCCAACTTCGCTCAAATATCCCTAGAAAATTCCCCCGTTGCCCCAACCAAACTTTTTTCTATCACCCACACTCTATTGGAAACCAGCTCACCAGCTCACGTGTTTCGGTGCCGGCTCACTCAGTCAAACAAACACAACACTTCAAGGAAAAAAACAAAACACAGTATCTCAAATTGTCAAAGCCAGCCAAAAGCATACTGGCCGAGGCGGGCAACGCGAAGCGTTTGCAAAAATTATGTAGCATGGGTAGGTTTGCAATGAATAGAGCTGACAACGAAATGGAACGACTTCCTGAAATAGCATCATCGACAAGTGGGTGATTATCTTGCTCAATGATTCAATACATTTGCGAGTGTGCTTGCGCGCGTGTACAGTAGGTGTTTGTTTGTTTGTTTGCTTGTTTGTTTGCTTGCTTGGTTGATTGCTTGCTTGATTGGTTGATTGCTTGATTACTTGGTTGCTTGCTTGTTTATGTTTGTGTACGTGTTTGCTTTTCTGCTTGCTTGCTTGCTTGCTTGCTTGCTTGCTTGCTTGCTTGCTTGCTTGCTTGCTTGCTTGCTTGCTTGCTTGCTTGCTTGCTTGCTTGCTTGCTTGCTTGCTTGCTTGCTTGCTTGCTTGCTTGCTTGCTTGCTTGCTTGCTTGCTTGCTTGCTTGCTTGCTTGCTTGCTTGCTTGCTTGCTTGCTTGCTTGCTTGCTTGCTTGCTTGCTTGCTTGCTTGCTTGCTTGCTTGCTTGCTTGCTTGCTTGCTTGCTTGCTTGCTTGCTTGCTTGCTTGCTTGCTTGCTTGCTTGCTTGCTTGCTTGCTTGCTTGCTTGCTTGCTTGCTTGCTTGCTTGCTTGCTTGCTTGCTTGCTTGCTTGCTTGCTTGCTTGCTTGCTTGCTTGCTTGCTTGCTTGCTTGCTTGCTTGCTTGCTTGCTTGCTTGCTTGCTTGCTTGCTTGCTTGCTTGCTTGCTTGCTTGCTTGCTTGCTTGCTTGCTTGCTTGCTTGCTTGCTTGCTTGCTTCAGTGTCTGCATCTTAGCAGGTATGTATTGGGCATACCTGTTCTGCATAACGCCAAACAAGGAGTGATCGTGATCTTGTGGCCTACGATGGATGCAAAGGTCATGTTGTTGTCCAGCTCAAGCCGAACCACGGCGGTGTTCACGAAGTCCCCCACCAAGGGCTCCAGGTCTTGGGAGCGCCTCCAAGCAGTCTGCTCATTCTGTTTCTTCATTCGGCCACTCTTGTCGCTTGGCCCCCCACCCACCAATTTGACGATTCTTCTATTTGTCTTTTCCTGGTTATAATATACTTTCAGGCTACCGCCGCACGTGGCAAAACACTTTACTACAACACATTGGCCTGGTCAAAAGACGTTTTTTCACCTACCAGCATTGTGCGCGGAGTGCGGACCGTGTGTGCCTGCATGTGCTGCTTGCGCCTCTCTCTCTCTCTCTCTCTCTATCTATCTCACTTTCCCCCTCTCTGTCTGGTTTGGCGCTTCTCTCTCTCTCTCTCTCTCTCTCTCTGCCAGTGTCTCTCTTGCGCACTTCGGCGTCTGTAGTGGCAGTTGGCTTCCAAGTTCGTGTGTCCGTCCGTGCCTGCGCGCTTCTGCGTGTATGTGTGTGTGTGTGTGTGCAGAGAGCTGCTCAATCGGCCTGCAAACAGAATCCTGGAGTTTGATGCAAGGCTTCCGCTCTGCAGACAGACACACGCACACACGTTGAGTATGGGTGTAAAGCCCGCCATTCAACAAATTGTGATGTTGTGGTACGCAACAATTTCTCAGAGCTTCCTCGATTCCAACCTTGCGCAATCTGCCCAAAACAAAGTAAACATCAATAGTACAAAAAATGAACTTCCGGTGGCAGCCAGGCCAACTCTTTTTGGTCGGGCTTTAGAGTTCCGCAATCCATCACCCCACACCCTGCCTCAGGGACACCGGCACCCCAATCAGCAGGTCCTGCTGCTGGCAGTGCCTGCTGAGCACTGCGCCATACGCCGCCAGGAGCACCGCAAAATCCGTCGCCCCATAAGTTGCCAGGTGGACGGAGACGACGGATACCACATGCCCGCTGGTAGCGTGGGGCTGGTCCAGCGGCAGCTGCAGGTGGAAGGATGAGCCCTCAGGGTGAATCGGGTTGCAACATTACTTCTAGAACTTGGCCACCAAATGTGGCCCAAATATGCCCAAATGCATCATAGCATGATAGGCTCGCACAGAGCTTAAAGCTCGTTGCTTTTGTAGTTGAGCTGGTCCTCTTTTTTCATCTGTTGGTTTTGCAAGCCTCTCGCTTGCTCGTGGCTGACACCATGTCAGTCTCGCCCCCGCCTCCAAGGACACAGCATCTGAGTATTGCCGGGTCCGCTGCCACCGCGCGAAATCCACGTAGCGCAGCGCCAGTGGAGGTAACGGCTCAGCCTGTCTCACTGGGAAGTTTTGACGCTCAGCCTGTTTGTGCTCATTCCAGCCAGTGAGAATTGCACCACTGCTGCTGGGAAATGCGATCTTGCACTTGTCCCCCTGCTGCCCTTGGCAACAATTTCGCGCTGCTTCTCATTTGATCCTCTTGGACATGTCAGCTTGGCCTTGCTTTGTCCATGCCAACCTCGACTCAGCTTGTTTCTGAATACTTCATACCGCAAAGGCTCGTTGGGGCGTGGCAGGTGAAATGTTGGGATGTCCCTCCTCAGATCCATAAAGATTACTGGGTCCTTCAAGGGCCATGCACGGCCTTCATGGGCTTCTGCAGTGTTGCTTGCGCTTCCCAGCGTCAAACATGCGTCTTGTCTATCTCTCCACTAGCTGGGACATCTCCCAAAAATGTCATGTCTCATAGGTGCGACCCTTGCCTTCTTTTCTCAAGACTTAGCATGTGACAGGCCCTGGTTGCCCAACGCTTGCCTGATACAAGGCCCACAGGTCTCGCTCAAAGTATTTCAGCGAAGCTCCATCAAAGGCAGCGTGGTGCACATTGATGTAGAGCCTCAGCTTGACAACTGTGCGACCGAGTCCACCACCTCCTGTCCCACCACCGGTAAGTTCATGTGAGGGTTCTGCAAGAAATGCATCGCCAAGCGTGCCGCAGTGCAGGCAAGCACCATGCCAGTTCTTGCCGATCAATGAATCTTGGAACCCAGCATGTGTGCAATACAAACGATCGCACAGGATCGCTGAATCTCCGGAAGGTGCCACCAACCGTCAGTGAAAGTAAATGAGTATGCGTCAAGGCAGAAAATAGATACAGTATGTTCTACAAGACAACAAATACAATGCCTCACAGTGCTACAGTCCTGTCAATTAAACCCAAGATGTTGCTGCAGCACGTTTCCTCGAAAGCTCTTTGCCAGAAGCCACAGATCTGTTTGGATTTTCCATGATGCAAAACATGAGGACGTCTGGTCTCCCTCTGCAACTTCATTGGGGCAGGAAGCAGCAGCTCATCCGACAGCATCTGAATCACCCGGATGCGCAGCATACCTTTGTGATGGGCGCAGCATACAACCCCATGCAAGCGTCCAAAGCCAGACCCTGCAGTCTTTCGAGCTTGGTGCCATGGCTTGGGCTTGCGCTGTTTGTAATATAGCACATCTGGGGTAGCGCAATCTTGGCGTCGGCTTGGCGCTTTCCGGATTGGCAGCACAATCTTCAAACTTGGGAGCGCTTACTGCAGCCAGCCAACTCTTGGAGAGGTCAAAGTTCTTGGTCATGTCCTCTGACAGAATTGCCTCCAGCTGAGGATACAGACAAAACTTCCGCGCAATGACTTCAAGAATCCCTCAGAACCTGGCCACTGCTAATAATTTGTTCATCAAAGTGGTAACCAACTTGTGGTCCGCGCCTTCTGCTGGGCTGCCAGGTTCTGGGGATCCAAATGCCGCAAGTCGTGGACACACAACCGCGACCTGAAGCTCACGGGAGATGGCAGGCCATACTCAAGACTGCCCAAAGCACACCATCCCTTCCTGGGGCTCAACCATCCACTCGGTCACAGCATTCCCCATGCAACTTGCATCTCGAATTCCAAACGCAAGTGCTGACACATTGCGTCGCTCCGGTAGGCCAACCTTTGAAGCATTTCAGACTAGAAGGGCGTGCTTTGCCAAACAGGGATGATCCAAAGACCTCGACACAAGGTAGACATTTGGCCTCTGGAAAAGTAAACCAAAAGAACCGATACCGATTTGTTGTCCCTTGTGGCTTGGTCGCTTAAAGGCTCGGACAACCCCCTGATCAAAAGGCCAGCATGCAGCCGAGCAGCCCGTCCAAGTCTGGCTCCGGCAGCACATGCTGCATGAGTCGCCCTCAGGGTATTGCCCTGAACTCAACGACCCAACACTCCATGCTCACATTCTGAGGCCTGGCTTTGCCGATGTAGAAATGTGTTTGAGTGCCCACTGGGCATCTGTCCGCGCTCCACAAGTCTTAGGGAACGCATTTCATGCGAGCCTTCGGAATCCTCACGCAGCACCGTGCGCAAAGGCTCGTGGCGGAGCACCACGTCACGCAGCGCTTGGCAGAGACGCTCTGAGTCGCTTCCCCGGATGCGGTAAGCAAAGGGGATGCCATGGGAACTGCCCATCTGCTCCTGGCGCACAGCCTTTTTGCCCATGCAAGGCTCAAGGCCCGAGGCAACTCAGCTGCAGGCCATCACCCAGAAGCGCTCTTGCTCGAAGGATGCAGGAGCTTCACCACCTCAGCTACAAATGCATCTCAAGTCACTGTCAAGCGAATTTTGTCGAGGCTGTCCCTCTCAGTCAGGTCCAAGAAACCTGGAGGGCCTGGCTGAGGCGCGCCAACGGGCGATGCGCCGCTCTCGAGGCGGAGGGCCATCCTGACGCTCTTGACACGTGAATTGCTAAGTTTCAAGGGACGACGGTCTTCACCGACTTCATCAGTTCACGCCGTTCACGCAATGTTCAAACGCAACCCCAAGTGCTGCGCCGGGAAACCCATGGAACACCTAGAGCACAAGGACAGCCACATGCTGCCGTTGCCCCTGTCAATTCTCCATGATTCCCCTTGCTTGCTCGCATTTTCATGTCACTGTCCTCGAAGCTGTTCGCAGCTCAAAGATGTCTTCCCTGGGCAACGCTTGATTGCCAATATCCAGGCCCGGCAAGACCCTGGTCTATCGCACAGCAATGAAGCCATCATACCAAGCATGTGCGAAGGAGCCACATTTTGTGCACAATAGGCGCACAACTCTTTGGAGATCACATGTTGGGGCTGACTTCAATGAGCTCATTTCTTAACAATCATGCCCATGATAGTTGAAGTGGATCAGGAAAATGCTGGAGAAGCAATGTCCACGCAAGAAGGACATGTGCATCACCCTTTACAGTGGGGCCACCTAAAAAACTTGAAAGTCTTGCCTAGTTAGTAAAATCTACATAGTCAAGAAAGGGGAAACAGGTGATGGCCAGCTTTGAGCAACACTGACACCGCAAATGAACTGCACACAAAGCGCCTTTGATGTTGAGCGATTGCGCGAGATTGGCTACAGCCGCTCTGGCTATGTATGAGATATTGACAAAGCAATTTCACATTCACAAAAAGGAGGGGGTCACAAGTAAGCCCAGAGTTGCATTTAAGCAATGTCGGAGTATTCTGGGTTAGGCAGGCGGGACCGTCAACAGATGAACATGTCATACCCAAGCAAAACGCAGTTATTTTTAGGGAAACACGATGCTTTCAATTTCGAGAATTTCAACATGTTTCTGCAAGCCACAAATCTACCGCAACGGACCATGTATGCATACATTGCCTATGGCCCTCGCCCAGTTCACACAGTGTTCAGCTCGTCGGACAATCCACAGAGATTCCGCGGTTTACCACTAGTTACCGCAGGTTTTCCACGGTTTGGCTACAGGGTGCTGAGCACGATGTTTCCCTGCAACACAATGTTTTTGGTTAGAGCTACGGGTAAAATACGGGTTTCCACGGGTTTTCCACGGGTTTTCCACGGGTTTTCAACGGGTGTTCCACGGGTTTGCTGCAGGAACCTCCTTTGTGTCTCAAAAAGTTGTATACCATGTGACACCAGGCTCCCCGCATCCTCCGGCAGCAAATAAGTTGAACTTCCGATTGGGCTGGGAATCAAATTCCCCCACTCCAGGGGGAGTCACCAGGTGACTATTCAGCATTCAGGGTGGCAAGGGGACGCTAAGAAGGCAATTTAGAGGGTTTCTTCAAAAAACAGTTTGTTGTTTCAGAAAACACGAGGTTTCAGCAAGCGCCAGGCAAAACACGGTGTTTTGTAAAGTTACGAAAAACTTACAGGGTTTTGAAGCCCCGGGTATGATCCACGCAAAGGAGGGGGTAGCTGGGGAGAGGGAAAAATGACGAGGATTCCTTTCCGGCTTGCAACTGCACAACTTCCATTTGGCGCCCAATCCCGAAGCGGCAAGGCGCAGCGCGAGCCACGGCAGTCGGCCCTGCAGGCGCATTGCCGCGAGCGACTGTCCACCAAGCCTCAGCGCGGGTGTCAAGTCCCAGTCACCTGACTCACCTGACTCTCCTGACTCAACCCACCTGAGTCCAAAAAAGAAATTGGCTGCACAGCTTGCAGTTCCTGTGTCAAGGCACTCGAAGAAGTCATCGTCCGTGCTCAAAGGAGCCATACCCAGTACCTCTTGAAAGGCCGCGAGAACGGAGCGTTCCGCTTCGTTCTGTGGCTGGCGCAGCGGCCTGTCGACTGTGTGATCCAGGGACCTCTCCAGGGCCTGACGATTGATCTTGCCGCTGGTAGTCAGGGGCAGTTCAGGCCGCGGAACCACGACCTGGCAAAGCGTGGGCCTTAAAAAATGGTTTGGAGAGAGCGGGTGCTCAGAACAAATGGAAGCTTCTGCCGGGCAATTGTTGCCCAGAATATCTTTGATGTTTTTTTCACTCTGCCTATTTGCCTCAGCAAATTCGAGGCGCTTGCCCATGGCAACCATCAAGTGCAACGCACTCAGATCTGAGAAGCTCGCGCACTATTATTGAATTGTGGCCCGCACCAAAAAGCATGATTCTGTGGTGTTTACATGCTTGATTGATTTGTGCGCAGCGGCTTGCTTTGCACTGGTGACGCACCTTGTCAAATCCCCTCATCTTTGCACGGGAAAATGATAGCCAAGCTTTGTTGATTGCTGAACAAATACATCAATTATTGGGAACAGATCTGGGCTCAAGCTTTTCACTCCAGGTGACAGGACATGATGATGTGCTAACATGTGGATGATGGCCACTTTGGTACTCAGCCTGCCCCGCCTCTGGGATCATATAACCAGGGAGTCGCTCCTTCAACACCTGCCGCAGCTGTGCTACGTCCACCTGCTCGGGCGTCACAAAGGCAACGAGGCGTCGCTCGACGGAGCCGGTGGCCAGGACCGCCACCTGCTGCACCGGGACGGGCAGCAGCGCCTGGCGCGCGGCCTCCTCGATCTCCCCGAGCTCCACGCGGTGCCCGCGGACCTTCACCTGGAAGTCCGCCCGGCCCAGGAACTCCAACTGCAGCTCCGAGCCCAGCAGTCCGTCCCTCAAATGGCCCCAAGGCTCCTCCGTCATGAAACGGACCAAGTCCCCGGTGCGGTACACCGTCTGCCCGGCCAGGCTGGACTGGTGAAACCGCTCTGCTGTGAGGTCCGGCTGGCCGATGTACCCGAGGGCAACGCCGGTGCCGGCGATGTGCAGCTGCCCCGCCATGCCAGGGAGCGCCGGGCTCTCGCTGCTGGCGCTCTCGTCCAACACGTAATACCTCAGTTGCCAGCGCGCACATCTCGCTGAGCCCTCGCAATGCGAAATAGCAGCTATCCACAAACCTGCAGCCCATTTTGAAAGTGAACTGGCGTGCACTGAGCTGCTGGTGGTTCCAAATGGGACGGCCATAGGGCACGGAGCGCCAACAGGGGTCGATGCTGCTGACATGGAAGGAATTCGACCACACGGTGGTCTCAGTGGCCCCTCCCAGCGCCACCACACGAGCGGATGGCAGGGCATGCTTCAGTGCAGAGACCTTAGCATCGTCGGATCTTCTAGGGTTGTGTGGAAAAAGAAGCTATGAAAGGAGAAGAGGCCTTGGCAAGGACACTGGTTGATGTGTCTGATGTGTCTGCGTTGATGTGTCAGATTTCCGTTTGCGCTGATGTGTCTGCGTGTGTGCGTTTGCGTGTGCGTGTGCGTGTGCGTGTGCGTGTGCGTGTGGGTGTGCGTGTGGGTGTGGGTGTGGGTGTGCGTGTGGGTGTGCGTGTGCGTGTGGGTGTGGGTGTGTGGGTGTGGGGTGTTTGGGTGTGTGGGTGTGTGGGTGTGTGGGTGTGTGGGTGTGTGGGTGTGTGGGTGTGTGGGTGTGTGGGTGTGTGGGTGTGTGGGTGTGTGGGTGTGTGGGTGTGTGGGTGTGTGGGTGTGTGTGTGGGTGTGTGGGTGTGTGGGTGTGTGGGTGTGTGGGTGTGTGGGTGTGTGGGTGTGTGGGTGTGTGGGTGTGTGGGTGTGTGGGTGTGTGGGTGTGTGGGTGTGTGGGTGTGTGGGTGTGTGGGTGTGTGGGTGTGTGGGTGTGTGGGTGTGTGGGTGTGTGGGTGTGTGGGTGTGTGGGTGTGTGGGTGTGTGGGTGTGTGGGTGTGTGGGTGTGTGGGTAAGTGTGGGTAAGTGTGGGTAAGTGTGGGTAAGTGTGGGTAAGTGTGGGTAAGTGTGGGTAAGTGTGGGTAAGTGTGGGTAATGGTGGGTAAGTGTGGGTAAGTGTGGGTAAGTGTGGGTAAGTGTGGGTAAGTGTGGGTAAGTGTGGGTAAGTGTGGGTAAGTGTGGGTAAGTGTGGGTAAGTGCGGGTAAGTGTGGGTAAGTGTGGGTAAGTGTGGGTAAGTGTGGGTAAGTGTGGGTAAGTGTGGGTAAGTGTGTGTAAGTGTGTGTAAGTGTGTGTAAGTGTGTGTAAGTGTGTGTAAGTGTGTGTAAGTGTGTGTAAGTGTGTGTAAGTGTGTGTAAAGTGTGTGTAAGTGTGTGTAAGTGTGTGTAAGTGTGTGTAAGTGTGTGTAAGTGTGTGTAAGTGTGTGTAAGTGTGTGTAAGTGTGTGTAAGTGTGAGTGTGTAAGTGTGTGTAAGTGTGTGTAAGTGTGTGTAAGTGTGTGTAAGTGTGTGTAAGTGTGTGTAAGTGTGTGTAAGTGTGTGTAAGTGTGTGTAAGTGTGTGTAAGTGTGTGTAAGTGTGTGTAAGTGTGTGTAAGTGTGTGTAAGTGTGTGTAAGTGTGTGCAAGTGTGTGTAAGTGTGTGTAAGTGTGTGTAAGTGTGTGTAAGTGTGTGTAAGTGTGTGTAAGTGTGTGTAAGTGTGTGTAAGTGTGTGTAAGTGTGTGTATGTGTGTGTAAGTGTGTGTAAGTGTGTGTAAGTGTGTGTAAGTGTGTGTAAGTGTGTGTAAGTGTAAAGTGTAAGTGTAAGTGTAAGTCTAAGTTGTATGTGGTGTGTAAGTTTGTATGTGTTGTAAGAGTGTTGTGTAAGTTTGGTGTGTGTAAGTGTGTGTGTGTGTGTAAGTGTGGGTGAGTTGTGAGTAAGTGTGAGTGTTGTTGTGGAATGTGTTGTGGAAGTAGTGTGTGTGTAATGTGTGTGTAAGTGTGTGTGTGTGTAAGGTGTGTGGTGTGTAAGTTGTGGTTGTGTGTAAGTGTGTGTGTGTGTGTGTGTGTGTGTGTGTGTGTGTGTGTGTGTGTGTGTGTTTTTGTGTGTGTGTGTGTGTGTTTTTGTGTGTGTGTGTGTGTTTTTGTGTGTGTGTTTTTGTGTGTGTGTGTGTGTTTTTGTGTGTGTGTGTGTGTTTTTGTGTGTGTGTGTGTGTGTGTTTGTGTGTGTGTGCTTGTGTTTGTGTTTGTGTTTGTGTTTATGTTTGTGTTTGTGTGTGTGTTTGTGTTTGTGTGTGTGTGTTTGTGTGTGTGTGTGTGTGTGTTTTTGTGTGTGTGTGTGTGTGTTTTTGTGTGTGTGTGTGTGTTTGTGTGTGTGTGTGTGTGTGTGCTTTTGTGTGTTTTTTGTGTGCTTTTGTGTGTGTTTGTGTGTTTTTGTGTTTTTGTGTGTTTTTGTGTGTTTTTGTGTGTGTTTTTTTGAGTGTTTTTTTTGAGTGTTTTTGTCTGTTTTTGTGTGTTTTTGTGTGTGTTTGTGTGTTTGTTGTGTGTTTTTGTGTGTTTGTGTGTGTGTTTTGTGTGTTTTTGTGTGTTTTTGCGTGTTTTTGTGTGTTTTTGTCTGTTTTGTGTGTGTGTGTGTGTGTGTGTGTTTGTGTGTGTGTGTGTGCGTGTGTGCGTGCGTGCGTGCGTGCGCGCGTGCGTGCGTGCGTTCGTGCGTGCGTGCGTGCGTGCGTGCGTGCGTGGGTGGGTGGGTGGGTGGGTGGGTGGGTGGGTGGGTGCGTGCGTGCGTGGGTGGGTGGGTGGGTGGGTGGGTGCGTGTGTGCGGGTGTGTGCGTGTGTGGTGTGTGTGGTGTGTGGTGTGTGTGGTGTGTGTGGTGTGTGTGTGTGTGGGTGTGTGGGTGTGTGCGTGTGTGCGTTTTTGCGTGTGTGCGTGTGTGCGTGTGTGCGTGTGTGCGTGTGTGCGTGTGTGCGTGTGTGCGTGTGTGCGTGTGTGCGTGTGGGCGTGTGTGCGTGTGTGCGTGTGTGCGTGTGTGCGTGTGTGCGTGTGCGTGTGCGTGTGCGTGTGCGTGTGCGTGTGCGTGTGCGTGTGCGTGTGCGTGTGCGTGTGCGTGTGCGTGTGCGTGTGCGCGTGTGCGCGTGTGCGCGTGTGCGCGTGTGCGCGTGTGCGCGTGTGCGCGTGTGCGCGTGTGCGCGTGTGCGCGTGTGCGCGTGTGCGCGTGTGCGCGTGTGCGCGTGTGCGCGTGTGCGCGTGTGCGCGTGTGCGCGTGTGCGCGTGTGCGCGTGTGCGCGTGTGCGCGTGTGCGCGTGTGCGCGTGTGCGCGTGTGCGCGTGTGCGCGTGTGCGCGTGTGGGCGTGTGGGCGTGTGGGCGTGTGGGCGTGTGGGCGTGTGGGCGTGTGGGCGTGTGGGCGTGCGTTGCGCGGTGCGGGGTTTTGGGGGGGGCGCGTGCGTGCGCGTATCGCGCGTGCTGCGCGTGCGTCGCGTGGCTGCGTGCCGCGAAGCGTGCGCCGTAGCGTGCGCGTGCGTGCGCGCGTGCGCGCGCGGCGTGCCCCGCCCCCCCGGGTGCGCGGCGCGCACGCGCAATCGCGCGCCCCCCCCCGGTTAAAGCGCGTGCGCGTGCGCGTGCGCGTGTGCGTGCGCGCGTGCGCGTGCGCGTGCGTGTGCGCGTGTGCGTGTGCGTGTGCGTGTGCGTGTGCGTGTGCGTGCGCGTGTGCGTGTGCGTGTGCGTGTGCGTGTGCGTGTGCGTGTGCGTGTGCGTGTGCGTGTGCGTGTGCGTGCGCGTGCGCGTGCGCGTGCGCGTGCGTGC